CGGCATGGTAACCATCAGGTAACGCAGTCGCTGTGGTAAATGGCGGTGATTCTGTGTCCGGAGTGTGTTCGATGGAGTTGTCTCTGTGGAAGCCAGCCGTGCTGCTGGAGTTCTCCGAGTTCGTCATCGTGGGGTACCCGAGCATGAGGTAGGCCTGCATCGGAGTGGAGGGCTCAAGATCGGCTGGGCGGCCGCAGGTGCGTTGACTCGGCGCAAGCCAATATAGCGGGCCTTGCAGCGGTTAGTGTACCCAAGTGAAGTCGAACAGCTTGAGAGAGTTCGACGCTCAAGTCAAAGCTTGTACAGCTCGAACACATGTATATTCACCGAAATAAAGACGCACACTTTTGGGAGAACAGGAGCTGGGAGCAGTCGAAGAATAAGCAGTGCTTACGCAGGATCGCGAAGAGTGGGTACCAAGTCTAGATAGGCGGAACCTAAGGAGCACATCTACTGGTACGTCACCAAAGTAGAAGGTAACTTTACGCTCTAGGTGAGGTGGAACATGTCAATCGTGACGAGTAAATCGACTGCCTCAAAGAGGTCTGGCAATTCAATGTTGGATGAAAACAGAGAACGACATTTGTTAGGTACCTACCTCTAATGCACTTTGAAACGTGAGAAAGGAATGCTGTGTGATGACTCAGGTCGACGTTTCTTAACGTCATGGGCGATCAGCTCGTGATTGGCTAAGGAGTTAACTCCGTCCGGCAGCGGGGTTACGAACTTTTAAGGCTGTCGGCGCTACCTGTACATGTAGTGTTCCGCACCCGAGGTCGAGCATCAGCACGTTAATCTGTAGCATAGAAACGTCCTTCGTATGGATGCCACATTCTTCTTCATACCTGAGAAGCTCAAGATAATCACATATAGCTCCGGCCGACGTGCGTCGTCTTCGTGTACGTAAACAACTCCGGATGGTCATCCGCTTAGAGCTCGAAATCACCATAGACAAGCCCATCCCCGTGCTCCTGCCGGAACCTCAGCATTTTCTTCCAAACGCAAGGACACTCTGTTCGTCGCCCAACTGGGACGCGACGTTGATCTCTCCAGACAGTGGGTGCGTCTTCATCCACGTCTTGTCCGCTGTCGAGAAGCCAGCATTTGGTTTCTTCCCATCCCAGGATACAGGATTGCGTGCATGGTCGCGAGCGAGGTGCTGCAAAGTCAGAACGGCTCGCTCAAGAGCGACAGGATCAATGTCGCTGCGCTTGGCCACCATCCCATAATACCCAAGACTGTCAATATCCTTTGCTCGGTGATGGGCTAACTATCGGCGGGGGCGTTGACCATGCCGATTTCCTGGCCTTGATAAACAAATAGAGTCCCTGACAGGGCGGTCTCAAGCATGGCAAGAAGTTTGCCGGTTGCAGCACCGGCTGTTCCTTGGCAAACAGGTGAAGATAATACGCCTTGCTAGCTGGATCCCACTCCCAGGTGCTGCCACCACCAAAGTTGGATCGCCAATGTACGGGCGGCCGTCTTCGCTTGTGCGCGTCGTACCTGGCTGGTCGCCAAACGTACCAGTCACGCTTGGGATTTGCCTTGCTGGATTGGGACTCCTGGGACCAAGCATGCTGGTCGAATGTGTGGTTGATCACCAATCTAGCATCATCTTCATCCCACGGCCATCACACTCCCGTATCAGGCGCTCCATGTCGTCCAGGGTTCCGTAAGGTGGGTAGATAGCCTCATAGTCACTGATATCATAACCCATATCAATCTGGGGGCTGTCACACATGGGACTCAGCCAAATCAGGTCGACACCGAGGTCTTTGATGTAGTCGAGCTTATCGATGATGTCAGGATATCTCCAATGCCGTCGCCATCACAATCATTGAAGCTGGAGGGGTAGATCTGATAGACGACACCAGACTTCCACCACTTCTTTGTCCGGGACTGTCATTGTAGGTCAACCACGCGGAAGGTGGTTCATGATCATTCGAAAGAGCAAGGGAACAGATAGCAGGATGATTGAATAGCATTGAATAGCCCCCAGGGTAGAGGTCGAGGTTAGAATCACGGATAACGAGGGAGGGAAGCAGAGCTGTTGAAGAAGCGTCGATGCTTCGCCTTTATGAGCCCAATCCGTGGATGAGCCTCTATCATTGTCAAATGACAAGTCCTCATCCAAAACCCTCGATAACTGTGGGGTATGATAGCCTCACGATAAGGCTCAAAGCGTCGAATCCTACCTACTTCGCGCCTGTTCTGCATCGCAGCTGCCGTGAGGTCATCGCTGAGATGTCGGACCGAGGACCGAGAGTCGAGGTACACGAGGGCTATTAGCGGCATATCGGACAGGTTCCAACGGTCAATGTGCGACCACAGTCTAGAAATGGCGCGTGAAACAGCGCTGCGCATGACTGCCTCCCTCCCCTGTCGCTCATCTAGCCTGGGCTAGCCCCGGCAGTCACCGAGGAATTGGAGATGCTGATTCCTCCGTTATCGGACCGAGAGATGAATTGACGCTAAGGGACCACTTGGGGACCCTCAGTCCATCATTCTGGTTCAGCCCAGCTTCCCCACACGATGATCGAACCTTTTCAACACACTGTGATCTGGGGCAAATCAACAGATGTGACCACCTCCAGGTTTTTCAATGTTTTCCCGTGGTCGTGGGCGATATTTCTCCTTTCCCCCGCAAATACCCCAGACGTGATGTTATTAGCGCATCCGAGAGCTCGATCACCTTGAGTGTGCTGTTAATAATGTCGTGATGGTGTAACTGGCGGCCTTACAAACTACTATATAAGGACCCATCCGACCCATCCTGTCCGACATCGTGAAACATGACAGGTTGAAGCAACGAACAGTCTCCTTCCTCCCCCGGTCTCGGTCTACAGGCCCGCCGTTTGGCGAGCTTCCACTTCACTCGTCTCTGCAGCATTACCTCCCGAACAAGGCTCTGGCATACAGTCAGCCCATCGTCGACATGGCCACGCAGCCAGATCGTCACGAGCCGGCCGAGGCACTCCACGTCCACATGGACTATGAGAAAGTCCGCAAGATGTCCGTCCAGAACCCCAACATTGGCACCATCACCCGCGAAGCAGCAGCAGCCACGGAAGCCGAGCATCGGATGGGCCTATGGAAGTCCCTGACCCTGTATCCCAAGGCCGTTGGCTGGTCGATCCTCCTGTCAACAGCAATCGTCATGGAAGGCTTCGATATTGTCCTGATCGCTAACCTCTTCGCGTACCCTCCGTTCCAGAGAAAGTTCGGCCAGCTCCAACCAGATGGCAGCTACCAGCTCACTGCAGCTTGGCAGTCGGGCTTGTCCAACGGTGCCCTTGTGGGAGAGATCCTCGGACTGTTCGCCAACGGTATCATTGCTGAAAGATTCGGTTACCGGTATACCATGATCGGCGCCCTGAGCCTTTGCATCTGCTTCATCTTCATTGTCTTCTTCTCCCAGTCTCTGGTTCAGCTTCTCATCGGAGAGATCCTCATGGGCCTTCCGTGGGGGGTGTTCCAGACACTGAGTACGACCTACGCTGCTGAGGTCTGCCCGACTCATCTCCGTGCTTACCTCACCACCTACGTCAACTGTGAGTATGCATTCACCCAGGATCTTGAGAAACCCCTGGCTGACTGAAAGCAGTATGCTGGGTTCTGGGACAATTCATCGCCTCAGGAGTCCTTCGAGCCATGATCACCCGGGACGATGAGCTTGGCTACAAGATCCCCTTCGCCCTACAGTGGATGTGGCCGGTTCCACTCATCATCGGTATATGCTTTGCCCCGGAATCACCCTGGTGGCTCGTCCGTCGAGACCGCAAAGAAGATGCAAAAAAGGCTCTGCTGCGTCTCACCAGTCGCAACACTGACATCAACTTCAACCCTGACGAGACGATCTCCATGATGGTCCACACCAACGAGTTCGAAAAGGCCGCCGAGACAGGCACCTCATACTGGGATCTCTTCAAGGGCAAGGTGGCTCTGCGACGGACCGAGATCGTCTGTGCCGTGTGGTCCATCCAGACACTCTGCGGCGCATCCTTCATGGGCTACTCGACCTACTTCTACGAGCAAGCCGGGTTAGCAACTGAGAATTCCTTCAGCATGTCCTTGGGTCAGTACGCCATTGGCATTGTCGGCACTGTCTTCTCCTGGTTCCTGATGAAGCACTTCGGTCGTCGCTCGTTGTACCTGTATGGGCAGGTGATCATGGTCGTCCTCCTCTTGGCTATAGGGTTCACATCGCTAGCGGGCAGGGACAACATCTCCGCGCAATGGGGCATTGGATCGCTTCTGCTGATCTACACCTTCGTCTACGACTCCACGGTCGGACCGGTCTGCTATTCCCTGGTGGCGGAACTGACCTCCACGAGACTGAAGACGAAAAGTATCGTGCTGGCGAGGAATCTCTACAACATCGTCGGTATCGTCACCAACATCATCACCCCGCGCATGCTCAACCCCTCTGCGTGGAACTGGGGTGCTAAATCGGGCTTCTTCTGGGCTGGCCTGTGTGTTCTGTGTTGTGCCTGGACGTATTTCCGTCTGCCTGAGCCTAAAGGTCGCACGTATGGTGAGCTGGATATATTGTTTGAACAGCGTGTTTCCGCACGGAAGTTCAAGTCTACCATGGTTGACCAGCTTGCTGTCGTGGATCTGGACTTGGGGACCAAGGAGGAGCTTGCGGCCATCGCGAGCACACATGAGAAGGTCTCAACAGGTGGCTGATCGTGTCACATATCGTCGTTTCTTTTTATTGTATCTTCTGCTAGCGATATGTTATTCCCATAGGTCCTGGTCGACCTTGCCAGATTTGAATATTTCGCGGCACTTCGACTCAACCTGTAAATGAACAAGAGATAGTAAGTGATCGAATACCTCACAGTTAGATTCCCTCTTGGATGTGCTCTTCCGGGGTTACCCCTGTCCAAATTCGGTTAGCCCTCCTCGCAGCCAGCGGGTCCCCTCAACACACCCGAGTCATTCCCACGTCACATTCATATATCCAACCAAAGACTCTTTGTTCACAGGATAACCAGTCTCTGTTCGTATAGTGGTTAGTATGTGAGCTTGTCATCTGGACTCTTCAAGTGTCCTAGACATCGCTCGAGACCGGGGTTCAATTCCCCGACAGAGAGTTTTTCTTTTCGCCTCCTCGTGTGCGTGCCTCAATGCATTGCTTTTTTGGTGGCAACAACTGGTACAAGCTATACATTTTGATGTTTCCCCCCGGCTTGCTGTCTTGGGTGATGTCTCTAAGCTGGAAGCAAATCCTGAGTTTTGGTTCGGTAATGTGGCTTGGAAGTCAGTCCAGAGCTAAGGTCAGAGCTGAGCACGATACCGCCATGACTGTGTATATGTAAGCCCATCCTAGCCTGACGAGCTAAATGGAAGGAGGTGTACATACTCCAGAGATTCATGCGAACCATATATTAGGCTGTTTGGCCGAGAAAGGGGGTTTCTTCGTAAGCCAAGTGTGCACTGTCACTATTCCAGCCAGGCTAACCAGCACTTCCCCGATAACGCAGCAGCAGTACAATAGCTGGAGCTGCTGGATCACCATATAGTTAGCCTTGACCCGGCCAATTGAGAGTTTACAGGGATTCCACTGCGTTCAGGGTCTGCTCATTGCTCACGATACGTTGCTGGGATGCCCTGTGACTATAAGAGGTTGTATTTGGAAAACTGTACTATATGTTACACTTTTGACAACAGATCATGTCATTCCAATATGCTTCCTGGCTCGAAGAACTGCTGCACCACGTTAACCTTGAGTCAAGCTATCCACGATACTGACCGGGGAAGACAAGTCCTGACTTGCTAACTCGAGGCATCTGGACGATCATCTCCTCGTCGGCTTGTCTATCTTCATGCTCCACGGTATGATAAAATCTGTCCCCTGCCTTCTAGCTGAGGTACGCTATAGATGCATATACAAAGTGACATTATGCTTGCTCGTTTAGGTCATTGGGATGCATGTGAAGAAATCTGTTGGTGCGGACTTCAGTCTCAAGTTGTCGGATAACTACTCGGATTTAATCTGGTAGCCAGCATTAGTACAGCTGGGATTGGGGGCTGTGTGTATGTTGCTAGGACACTTGGGCAGCCAGACCTGCCAAAAAAGCATGATCATGCATCCCTGTACTAGTTCAACGTTAGATGTAAGTTGCTCGTGTAGCCGTTTATCGAGTCATTAAACCGACAGAGACCTCTGTAGCTCTTTTTCAAGGACAAATATCAGTGAGAAGGTCCTGATTCCACGTCTGTCTGCGTGGTACCGTGAGTGGATGGTTGGTTTCATGAATAGTCAGATGGACGACTCGGAGGGTATAAAAGGGACTGTATAGTTACATCTGATAATCTAGACACGGCACGAGTGGTTATGCATGCGACGTCGTCTCACATCAGCATCCTCATGCACGATAAAGCCGTGCCGAGCTTACATCACAAAGGAGTTAGAGAGATGGCTATTTTGGGAAGCAACGTTGAATTATGGTATGCTATGCTCCTGAAGGACATTAGAAAGGAAGTAAGGTCTTTTGGCTGTATGGGAATGAACGCGTCGCCGACCGTGTGTCCAACGGTGTGCGCGACGCAGTAACAATGCAAGCCACGATGTAGAAACCTGTAGTGACATGAGGGATGTGAAACCCAAAAGACGGGTTTCTTAGACCTCCCGAACGTTGACAACATCGCCGTAGCTGTTGACGGCCACGGCCTTCTTTTGCGTGGACATCTTGACCGGGTTCTTGGAGTTGAAGATTTCGTCGAGTTCTTCGAGCTGTGGAGAGATAAACATATTAGGATGAACGTTGTTAAAGTAAATGCAAAACTTTGAGAGCACGGAAGACTTACAGTGCGGTCCTTCGTTTCGGGAATCATCCACCAGATAATGGCGGCCTGCAAAGCATCCTGGATGGTGAAGATGATGTATGTCCTCCAGCCGATGTTGCGCATGGCAACAGGCCAAGCAAACTGGTTGAGGAGACCACCGGCGTTGACAGCCAGCGTGGAGAAGGCCATACCCTTGGCACGCATCTCGTAGGAGAGGACCTCGACGGGGTACAGAGCCTGCAGGGGCGTGATACCGATGGAGTAGATGGCACCGAAGATGAAGATCATGGCCAGCGATGCCTTGGAGGCGGCAGTGTTGCTTCCGACGGTGACGGTGCCATCGGGATGGAGACCGCCACCGGACTTTGCGAATTCGGCGGCCGCAATGGTCATGCCCAGCCACACAATGCAGCATCCGGTGAAGGAGAAGAGCAACAGAGGGCGGCGACCGACTTTGTCGACAAGGAAAGCACCAAAGATGGCACAGAGGAACTGCTGGCACGAGTTGATGAGAGTAATGTTGGCCTGAGAGATCGGGGAGGTGTAACCACAAGTCTCCAGGACGGCAGCGAGGAAGTAGGAGAGCACAGCGTTACCAGCCCACTGACCGAAGATGGAGATGACGACGTTGCAAGACAGACGGTAGACGGCGGCGCGTGTGCGGAACAGAGCGCGGTAATCCCACCAGCGCTTATCGGCACCGTCCATATCCAGCAATTCTTCGTACTCGTGCATCTGGAGCTTGACCCAAGCAGACTCGGGATTGCCGTGGCCGTGATACTTGGTCAGCATGGCCTTGGCCGCCTCAGCCTTGCCGTTGACATAGAGCCAACGAGGAGACTCGGGCAAAAAGAGGCAGAAGATGACAATGAGGCCAGCGAAGAGAACCTGGAGCCAGGTGATGAGACGCCACGACGCGTCGCTGTGGATGTCGAGGGCACCACGGGCAGCGCCGGAGGCAACAATGGCGCCCGAAAACCAGAGTGTGTTGTACATGGCACCAACGCGACCGCGGTAAGCCGGATGGTTGATCTCGACGACGTACATGGGCCCTGCCGAAGCCGCGATGGAGACACCGAAACCAAGCAGGAAACGGCCGCCCATGAACTGGCCACGGCTGTGGGAGAGACCTTGGATGATGGTTCCGACCACAATGGTCACAGCGCCAATGAACATTCCATATCGCCGTCCCCAGGTGTCGATGGCGGGTCCAACGAATGGCAAGGCCACGACACCACCGATCTGATACATGGAGGAAACAATGCCAGTCCAGACGCCGGAGCTGTCGACATTGTAGGCCGCCTTGAAGTAAGGGTTCTGGAGCAGGTTGTTGATGAGAGAGCCGTCGTAACCGTTCATGGTCGAGCAGAAGAAGCCGATGATGGAGAACATGTAGAGGAATATTTGAGCCCGGGTCCAGGCAGATGGCGGTTCCTTGAGCAGAGCCTCGGCGAAGGCCTCATTGCCCTTGACTACCAATGTTTCGACCTCCTTCTGTATAGTCACCGTGGTTAGCTGAGACACAAACCGGCAAGGTTTAATATCGAATGGGTTCTTGCCTTGCCATGCTCCGAAACATCATCGTGATGGTGATGGACGGCATCCGTGCCGAAGTCCTTCTCGGCCATTGTGAAAAGCTGACAAGCCCAAGGCCTGTGGCTGCTGATACTATTGAGTTGATGAAGTTATATTCCAGACAAGCTGGTTTGGATTGACAGGAGGAAAGAAGAGACAAGGTGGGATGAACAAGAGGGATCCCGGCCGTGCGGGACACAGCATAATATAAGAGGTTCCCATGCCCACGGAGGGATGAGTGATACCCAAGAATGTACAAGTCGAGGATCTGCTACCCCGGACATGTCAGCCGGTGTTGCATTGTAACTGGCCACTCAAGGCCTAGTCTGACAGGCCCCCTATTTGTGGTGGGCAGATCTCTTTTTGGAGACCCGCGGCCGGACCGTTGTAGAAGCGATGCTTGGCAGTCTGCAACCGTGCCATCGTCCTGCAGTCCAATTCCATGTATACGACAGGGTTCGTGGAGGATGTGATGGCCACTTTCCGGGCTGAAGCTGAAGACAGGGTGCAAGTCGACGTCCATGCGTGCCCCGGGTTGAAACCGTCTATCCGACAGCCACCAATCCTTCGCGTGTAAGGTGGTTGCAACTCGACTCCCAGCACAAGAACCTTCAGCATTGATGGATACAGAAAACACGCTTGCCAAGACTCCGCATTGCTCCCCCAGGTTTCTGGGGTTAGTCGTGGTGGTGCTGTTTTTGGCTGTGGGTCCGGAAGTCAGCCAGGTATCCTCCTCCTCTTTGTCGCTTCAAAACAGTTTTCATGCAGCCATCCAGACAGTCTTCTTTGAGTTGATGATACGGTTTATGCGTACTTCAACTGCCAGGCCGTAAGATCTGAGAGACAATGGAGGTTACGCAGCACGGCGGGTTTACCATTCCCGTGAATGAATTGTCATCAACACGATAGCTACCAAGGTGAGACCCGGCAATATCAGTATTCAGTTCACCCAGGTAGCTGGTAAGACCAGGATAAGACGGTTAGGTGCAGACCACCAGTATTCGTGGAGGGCCCGGCAAGACGGTCCTTGATTCCACGATGCCCTTGCGCATCAGACCTCACGCATCTTGCCAGCAACCTCGGGAGGGCCCCCATCCATATTTTACGACAGCTCTAAAATGCAGTTTCCTCGAGGTAAGTCTTCAGGGCTTTCGGTTGTCAATCAACAAGTAATCTTTGCATGTCTGGAAAGAACCATGATGATCGATACCTTGGTATTGTGAAGGATGGTGTTGAATGGTGAAGACAAGGGAGGGTCCGCAATTCTGGAATGGTCCCTTGCAGCGGGGCGCGCAGATGACACTATGCCTATTCAGGGTTGCGGAGAGCCCTCTCCCGCGGTAAAATCTGCCCCGATGCGGAAAGACGTGAAGCTGTGCCGGTCATGGCAACCCCTTGACGCGATGTGGCAGTCTGCTCCGCGCTCGTGATGAACCAGCTCACATGCATCATTTGGAGAACATCACTGCAGCATGTTCGATGCTCTCCTTGGTGTCGTATGACTGGTGGACAAAACTGTATGCCGTGGTGGAGATAAAGGCTCAAGCTTGGATTGAACATGCCTGCCTTGCCGTGCTTGAATGGACAACAGTCCACAGGACGTTCTTGTGGCCAAGAGGAGATATGTAGCTTGTTGCTGAGTCGACGGTCCTGCGAGCCGCCATCTCTCGGACAGAAGACACTCTTCAGGGACTCCACGCCATCTTGGTGATGGGGGCACGGCCCGTCT